ACTTTTTGTACATTTGCTTTGCAACACAACGCTACAGCCGGTGAACAGCACACTGATAGGAAATGCATTATTATTATTATTATTTTGAATTAAACTGTTACTACTGCGTGCGTTATGCTCCGATCCATACATATCAAGAACGGCCAAATGTAATCAAATTAAAGAATGAATGTAGTCAGTTATTTCCATGCGAGCTGCACTAATGCGTACGACTCTGATGGCCTGCGATAATGTATCCGATTGTCCCTGGGCAGTACCCAGCACCAGCTGTTGGTAATAAGCTGTGACTTTTAATGGACGCTCCCTCTAAGCTGTGGAGCCACAGGGCACTCGAGGCTCATCCACAGCAGCGGCTCGGCGCTATAGTTAGCCGACGTGCCTGCTGTTACCGTATTACAGACACATTACTCTGCCTCCTACCTCTCCTCCCCTCCACCCCCCCCAACCATCACATACTAGCTCTGCCTGTACACCCACTATGGAGTCAAATCAATCTAATAGATATGCAGTGAACCTGCTGAGCATTTTAATCAGTGTTGAGCTCGAACAAACGCAGTGGGACACTCTGTGAATCAGTGGCAGAGTAGAAATATGAGAACGAGAATGAGGTTTTCACTGGTAGTTATCGCAGGGATTAGCTGCACAGTTAGCAAGGGGATGAAAAGATCAAACGAATCAGTCGGACTTCTGCTGTTTCTACAATTTTTTAATGTCTTCTACTGTGTCGGTGCTAGCAGGTAACATATTATAACCTGTCGCCTGGTAAGAATATCTTACTTTAGCTAAACGTTATCGAATAGAGCTAAGTAAGTATTTAAGAAGTAACAAAAATACTCTAAGGATATTGATTGATTTATTTGATTTTGTCTATCTATCCATCTATCTATCTATCCATTATTGTTATCATCTATCGACTTAATTCCTCAATGAGAATATAGAACAAATGATTTAAGTGGCAACTCTTTTGCCCTTTGGGGTAAAGTATGTGCCAACATTTGACCTTGGATGTCTTCACTTTAATAGTCAAAATGAAGCATTTGCATATGTGTAATCTGTTGTAAACCATTGGGAGCTTCTACAAGAACTGGTCAAAATACAGATTACAGTCCAAGAGAATTAGGAGTGTATGTTCTCCTCCTCAGTGCCATGTGTACATGAAGACAAAGAAGTGGATGACAGCAGTCAGAAGTGATGACATGAAGACAAAGAAGTGGAGGACAGCAGTCAGAAGTGATGCAGCACCACAACAGAGCCAAAGGAGGCGTTGACACATTGGATGAGGTAGTTAGCGCCTACTCATGTAAGTGAAGAACAGGGGGGGGGCAAATGATGCTCTGGTATAGAATGCTGGATGTTGCCAACCTCAGTGCATTACAGTGCATGGGGGACACGCCCCCACTGCAAAAGCACATCATTGATGCCATGAGAAGATGCAGGAAAGATGCTGGCTCATCTGTCAAAGATCTAGCTTCAAACTCATCAGCCAATCACTGACATGTAAACAAACAATGCAGGAGTAGCATTTTTTTTAAACGCCTATAAACAAACCAAATTGCTTGCCAAATGCAGTGGAGCAGTTCAGAGCATTTCTCAGGGCTTAACTGCAGTCGTCGCGAGCAACAAAGACGGTGCAGTCCACATTTTATTCACACACACTCGGGCAATTCACTTACACTAAATTAAATGTTGGAAATCAAATCAGAAGTGCCAAGAATGCTGATTTATTCACTTCATCCTAATCCCAACAATATGGGTTAAATTACGATCGCTTACCCGTGGGCTGTCCGTCACTTTTCACCTAATAAATTTGCGTAGCCAAGCAGCCTTCCACGTGTGCTGTGCCAGGTCGCCGTGATTTAAGCCTCCGTTTTGTTAAGACACAGTGAAGCATAAAATGGCACAAATGGTGCCTAAAATGGAGCAAATGAGTGACTGTTTAATTGCAGTGAGTTAAACTTGCTCCCCGCGGTGGGGGATGAGAGTCAGATGCCCTGAGTGGTAATTATCTCAGGTAGCTATCTCATTACCACCCTCCTTTAGTATGTAAATGTGACCAAAGGCACGGTTGTTTCATTGTGATTTTTTTCTTTTCTTTTTTTCACACTCCCCTGAGACCGTGCTGTTCATCAGAAAGCAGAGAAAACAACTTAAGCACCAGTTGTGTTTACACAGATAACACTGCGTCTCCAGCGCCTTTGTGTCTACATTTGTGATGAATGTGTGAGACTTGTTCAATTAAGTCGCCAGGTCGCTGCTATCAAACAGAACACTGCACCTCGCTGAGCGGCCTTTTAACGATCAAGGTGACGACAAGGATTTCATAAATTATGGACGTTATGACCCATTTCAGTATTTACAGCCGGGCTGGTCCATCAGGTCTCTATGAGCTCAGACTGAAACCAATGAAGTTTTAAATTTGATCAGTCTAGTCGGTCAATCAATTTGGGATCATCTGTATCTTTTTTTTTTTTTTTTAATATGTACGATGCAAGGTTGGGTAGGTCAAATATTTGGACTTTCCTTGTCCTCTTCCAAGACCTCTTATATAATATTATTATATTCTTATATCTAATCATAGAATATACCAAGCTAAACCAAGCCTGTCATACATCATCAATAATAAAAAATAGTACTAGACAGCGTGTCATGTGGTAAAACCGGGTCACACAGAGTCTGAATCCCTTGATTCCTCATTCACACTGTAGATTTGTGTCCTTTACTGAGCTTTGTCTGTCTCCTTTGTGATGAACATGTCAATAACCCTGCAGCCTCGGCTTAAAAAAGGATTTTTCTGGCACTGGCTAACCTGGAACTGACAACCAAGGAAGGGGGAAAATGGGAAGAAACGAAGAAAGAGATGCTAATCATCTGAGGAGCTGAGCAGCTGTGGAGAGATCCACAGAACAACAGTTGGGTTTTTGGAAGGAGAATAAAATGTCACCAGAAAAATCTGATCTTTAGTTGTATCCCACATGTCTGGCTTTACCTGCCTGTTAGCAAAAATCAAACCTAACAAATACGTGGTGAGCAACCAACACAAGACAATGGAAAAGTGACGGGTGTGAATGCTATTCAACGAAGGTCAAACAATTCACCATTCTACAACACCAGAGTCTGATAAGACGTGGTTGGTATAGTGGTTAGCATAGCTGCCTTTTAAGAATTTAGCATGGCTTTGTTAGCAGATTGATCAAAAGAAGAGTTAATTGCCCGATTTTGTTTTGTGTATATGTCTGTATTTCTACAATAACAATAAATGTTATATATAATATTCCTGAACTGAATCAAACAAACCTACACAAAAACAATCTGTTAAACTAGCTCCCGTGCAAAATTTCTTTTAATGTCGGACTGAGATTTATGGGAGATGGCGATGTAATGTCAAAGACCCCCTGTATTTTCTTCTCTTTGTCTAGCCCAAGCATTGCCAAACTACGGCGCCCCATCAAATTCTAGGACCCATTGTGGCCCACGCCTGGTCTATCCCATTTGTTTTTTGAGGGGAAGAGGGAAGAGATGGACGTGGCCTAACATCCACCACAGCCCCCTTTGACTCCCTCACCCTGTACCACCATATTGTCCAATTGCTTTGGACAGTCAGAATCTGTCATTAATATTCTGAGGACATCAAAACGCTGGACTCCAAATTTACTGGGCAAAGCCTGCCAAATACACAAAAAACATACAAAAAATGTCTGCATGAGGAACAGGAGGCGAGTCTGCATTATTACAGCAGAGAACTCATGGGGGGAAACTGACAAGGTGGGACTGATTGAATGTCTTTTTTATCAGAACCGTGCGAGAATGACAATGTGGTTTTCCCATAATGTGGCACACATTCTGCTGCAGATTATTGCGGCGTGTCCATAATGCATAGCGGCTACTGCAGTGAGACAAAGACAATTATTAGGTGGCGAGCGATAATACTGACACATCACTAAAGCGAGAACCGGCTGCTGCTGCAAAGTGCTGTGGGCGAGAGTTTCAAACTCTAAACCATATCAATCTCTCACCGTTTGCACGAGCCGTTGTCACGTCCCATTAGTTTGTCAATCTCTGTCCTTGTTTCCCATCACAACCACTGCACTGACTGGTGTCTGCTAAATCAAAATGCTACGCTGACAGCAAACTAGCTTCGGCGTGTCAGCACATTCACAGATGAAGCGCTGAGAAGGATTTTAAATGGTTTTCACTTTTCATAGGAAACACTGAAAATGAGATGTAATTCCCAGCATATGTCATGTTATGCCTTTACAACTTTCATGCAATGTGTCGAAACTGGTTTGAAAATATCCATAATGATGTGCATTCTGTGTTTGGTAACACACCAACACTGTCACAACGAGGGAGAAGCAACAAGGTTCACTTCCAGCAGCTGTGAAAAAATATCCCGTGAACCTACGTCTGCATAAACATAGCACCACGAGTGTGACACTGACATCCATACCTCAGTGTGTGACTGGCTGCGTCGACGTGAGTCACTTTCACAAACTTCATGAACTTGAAATTGACACAGGAATAAGTCATTGAGTCGTGTCTCCTGATAAAGCGCTCGGCGCAGCATGGCGGCCTAGCACAATGCGATGACATTCAAAGCCAGTCGTCCCTGAGCTTGCACACTGCCGAGTCACTCTCTGAGACTTTTTCAAAGTTTTGAATTTGGATTTATGAAAAGTGTCTTTGCCTTTTCATGGTAAACAGTGAGAAACTCTTCGCCAATATATAACAAAAATCAATTATAAAATAGTAGCAGAGTGTGTGTGTGTGTGTGTGTGTTGAGTGCGTTCAGTAAGGAACAAAAACACTTAGAGAAAAGATATTTGTTCAGGTTACAGCTTTTCAAAAAACAACTACTGGAGTTAAAAAAGATAATTGGCATTTGTTTTGTGAGCATGAAAAAATAAACAAACACCAAAAACCACAAAAAAATACAAATAAAGTGAGGATATGGAAAAGATTGCGGAAGTGTTACAGGAAACAAATGAATGATTCTGACTTACCGGTTTGAGATAAATCACCTGTAACAGGAGAGGAGAGGGAGAGAGAGAGAAACTGATTAGTATAAAAGTCTGCATAGTTATAAAGAATACAATTACGCTAAACATTTCTTTTAAAATGGGTAAAACTTTTAGAAGATATATTTTCACACAAAAGTTACTTTTTCTCGGTTTGATTTTTGACAAACCATTTGTTTAGCTGCAAATAACTACAGTAAATACTCTTAAAAAACTTAATTAAGTTTTGTTTCTTGAGGGAATGAAAGCAAGTAAATTCTGATTATTAAATGAAAAATGATAAGCACATTCATACTTATTAATAGTTAATGGGAGCAGCATCACTGGGTCAATTTGTAGTGTGCTCAGTTGCAGATTAAATTGTCGACTTCAGTCTTTACACAGAAAACGTCAAAGAGTAACAGAGGCAAACTGGACAAAAAAACTAAAGATACATAAAGTATTGTGGTGATTAAAATTTAAAGCCCTTAATACATCATCTAGCAGTTTATCAGACTAACAAATAAAAATTTAAAAAAAAGTGAAAAATAGTAAAGACCAAAGATAATTGATCACGTAACACTTAAGATTTAAGATACTGTACAGTAGCCCGATGGTTTTTAAAGTGGGGCTAAACTCAGGACAACATTTTGAAATTGAAGGGAAGATTTTTTTTTTCCTCAGGACAACATTTTGAAGTTGAAGGGAAGATTTTTTTTTTTTTTTATAACCATTTATACTGAACCATACCACACATAAACTGCCGTAATTGTCAGAACATTTCCACCTTGTGTGAACACCTTGTATTCGATATACAGTACAATCATGTTCATTGATAATTATCTTAAGATAAACAAATTTAAAAACGATTGAAAAGTGAATAAAAGTAAGAAAACCCATTCCAAAAGTTGATGTTGTTTACACATTTTGCAGCCTTGTTTTAGGGTTTGCAAAGAAGGTTCGCGGCCAGAGGTTAATCCTGATTGAAAAAGATTGGGAACCCGTGCAGTAGCCTGTTCAAATCCAGCGTCATACTGAAGTCACACTGTGTCACACATTTTTGTTGTTCTAACTATCTATCAATAGAAGCTTGGTCGAAAGCTAACCCTACGAGAAATGCATTACTTCAACTGAAGGACCTTTCCAGCTACAGTCCAGTGAGCGGCTATTACGTTGCAGCCAGCTTTGAACCAAGCAGTCCAGGACAGACTGTATTCCAGATTGCCAAATGGCTAACACTACTGTACATGTCTAAAATGAAAGGAATCCCCTTTACACCCAACATATGGAGAGCTGCAGAAATGCCAGGCCAAGCAGATGGAGCACAGTGAGCTCTGCCTTCGAGAGCCTTAGTCTTCATCTACAGTCTAGCACCAAAGCTGAGACAGAGCTAACATTTCCAAAGTGGTGAGTGGAGTCCACGCCAGCCACGGTGCCAGAGGACTGAACACAATCAATAGGCTCCAGTCTCTCAGGCCGTGTTCGCTAATATCCTGGGTTTTGACGCGGCTTTCTCTCGCAGGCCCCGGCCGCTCTGACATCAAGACACGTGTTTTAACACATGCACCCGAAGCCTGTCGAACAAGCAAGTATTACTGTGTGTGAACTAGCTTTAGATAAAGATGAGGCTTTATGGGGGGCTTATGCCAAAAGTGGTAGGCGGAATTGAGCGTCAGCTCCACATGATCCACACGATCAACGTACATGACGCGACAACATGCAAATTCATACCAGGTGGATCTTCTGAGTCGACACGGAAAAGGCAATGAAACGAAAGAGAATGTGAGGCAAATTAAGTTGGAAACATTTAACTTTTGAGGCATTGCACCGCAACATCTATTGAGCGACGAGATTACCCCGACGTCAGCTTTCTAAAGTAAGCAGTGTCGGTTGTGAACGATGGTGAACAAGCCTGGGCATGGGTTAAAGTTAGCCAGGAGGTGGGACTCTCTGGTAACTTGTGAGACTTTCTGTCAGCCTGAGATACCGCTGGAACAGGCTGTCATCCAGACAGAGCTCCTGGAGGCTCAGCTCAGTGTCTCTCCGGAGGACGTCCTGAACCCAAACATGGCGGCGGCGGCTGCGAGTGGTTTTCCGCTGCGTCTGGCACAGTAGGTACAGTGCAGCAACAGTGGCTATCTCACCCATGACCGACTTGCAATAAAAAGAGAGCCGGTAGAGAAATGAGGGGACAAATTTAATTCTCCTGCACGGCCTATTTTCCCCCCGGAGCATCTAGTGCATCAAGCGCGACAAGCGAATAAGACAATGATCCAAAAATGATCAAGTGGCACAATACAGGGGTTTCAAGCACAGCCTTAGTTGGATATGGTTTCCATAGCACATTCCATAGCTTTTGCTTATGTTTTATCCCAGGGACTGGTTAGTTATCCCGTTTACTAGTAGTGTAAAGAGATTAGTGGTATGTTGCGTTATTACTGTAGAACTCAGGCGAAATTGGCATAGAAGATGTCTCCTATTCTTTTTTTATTGTATGTTCGGAGGCATTTTAGGAGACTCGTCAAGACATTGAAATAAAAGGAGGTTGATACTTCAAAGGCAGGGCAAGGCGGAGGTTGATACTTCAAAGGCAGGGCAATGCTTTAACAGCGGACGGTTGGACATTTTAGGAAACAGTGACCTATACTACAATCGAACTGGGAAAATGTGCAGACTAACCCGCAGACCAGCCCACCAAAACAGAGCAACTACTAGAAATGTCGACTTATTCTTTTTCAAACAAATGTATTATTTATGTAGGGCAGTGTTTTTCAACCTCGGGGTCGTGACCCCACATGGGGTCTCTTGGAATACAAATGGGGTTGCCTGAAATGTCTAGTATTTGATTAGAAAAAATGAGTTATAAAAGATTTTCAACTTATTATTATTCAGTGTTAAATTATAATTAAAAACACCTCACACAATCTTAAACAACTGTTTTCTTTAACATTCATGAATATAAATGGCGCATCTTGATTGACAGCTTCGATCACGTGACTTCACGAGTGACAGCTACTAAAAAGTTTGGCAACCACTGATCTTGAACCGTTGTTCTTTGGGAATTCTTAGTGCATTCTTTCAACTTGAAAATAAGTTTCTGTTGTTCTTTGGGAATTCTTAGCGCATTCTTTCAACTTGAAAATAAGTTTCATTCAGTTATGTTTTTATTTTATTACTTTTATTTTGAAGGTTATAAGATCACATACAGTTTAAGCAATTTTTTTGTTAGATTCTGGGGAAATAAAAAAGTGAATATGTAGCTGCCCAGATTGAAAAAGAAATCTGAAGATTACGTGTACGTAAAGACACAAGAAGAGCTCTGTCAACCTCGTATGAAGACATGCATCGGGGTAAAAGTGCTTTCATGTGATGTCATGTCACGGCAGCGCCACAGACAAATAAAATGATGACAGTGTGTCATCTCTGCAATGCTGGACACAACGCTGAGGGCAGAATGATTTTATTGACAGTACATCATCCTGAAAAGTTGAAGGGGCCTGAGGGCAAAGCTGTAAATTCTCCGCTGACCCCTGTAGTAAAGTAAATAACCGCAGCTGGGTGCCGGCAACAGTTTGTCGCGGAGTATTTCACGAGGGAAAACACGCTGAGGCGAAGGCCGCGATGCTGCTGTGACAGCAACAGCACGTTATGAAGCTGTGTTGGCTCTGGTAGGTTTTCAACACTACCTCGGAGACTTGAGATCACACGCAGCAATGCATCGGACTCTTTGTGACCACGGTGCCACAGTGAGTAGGAAATCTTCACCATGGGCACGGTCACACTGACTTTACCGCAATTTTGCCTCAGCAGCAGGAGGCATCGACCCACCTCTGCCGCTGACGTAACGCTCCGTCTACAAACACAGTCCACAAACTGAGCTGCCAAGTCATGCAACCCGCAAAGAACTATCACTGATGAGTAAGAGTGCAAAGCAAAGGAAGAAATACATTTACTTTGACATTAAAGTCAAGGTAAACTACATATTTTACTTAGTTTTAGTCTCGGGATATGAAATGTTCTTATTTACATTCCATTTCATTTTAACTCCTAACTAGAATTACGGAGGGGCCAGGGGAGGGGGGGGGGGGGGGGTCAATGTGTTTTTC